TCCGGGATGACGGACGCAACCCGCCATTCTTCCCGCGGCGCCCGTTCAGCGTCTGCGCCCCATACGCTAGCGCCGCCACGTGCTCAATTCCCGAGCGAATTTCCGCCTACGGACGGGTCACGCTGCGACTGCTTAAAAAGCACAGCCAGAGGATTCGATGATTGGAAGCAGGAGAGGCGGCTCAGGGCATCAACTGATGCACTGCAGTGCTTATGACTGGGAGGACCTCGGATCGAGTCTCAACGATGGCAGGATTTTTGACACTAGATTTTTGATAGCTAGGTTTAATTCATCCACTGTCTGGAAGAGATTTCCAGAGAAAGGCTGCTCTTATCGCTAATTTTCTGTTGTTTCTCCGATCAAGACCAGGCGAATGCCGGAGCAGTACCCTAACAAACGGGATACGTTCAACGCGCGATCTTCCCTTCATCTTCCTTGTACTATCCTTACCTCTTACACACACACTTATGTGCTTTACACTCTCACATATGTCGGGAGACCGTCTGGAAGTTACAGCTTTTCGTGGCTGGGGTGGAGGGAGATACCTGGTTAAGGAAATCCCCGCTAACCAACAGTTAGGTCGGCGCCGGATCTCGCTACCAGTGGGAGAGATCACCACCACCTCTCGAGGAAAAACATGCACTACTCTTACAGGACGATTGATCTTCGCAAATGACGTACCAAGAGTCACGAATCAGTCACTAATCAGAAATGGAGGGCGACCGTCACTTCAATAAAAGTCAAATCGAAGACAGATTTGATAACGCCGCTCACATTGTCGTAGTAAAGGGTAAACCGAAATTATCCACTCGCAAAGCAGTGGACTTGCTTTGCTACAATTACTAGTCAGGAGGATAAAGATCAAGTTGATGGTAATAATGGTGGTGGTGAAGACTATAATGATCATAACGAAATAAAAAATTATCCTTAAGTACGATTGTCCAACTTCTTTTCGCCTTTCTTCCAATGCACACTAGAGCGATTAAAGATCATATTTTACATACTTCTTATTTGCACTGTTAGTCGTAAAAATCTCGTTTAGTATGCCTGTGGTCGTCAGAAAGAATCATAGAGTAGCTGTTCTTTCGCCATTACGAATGCTCTTCTTGTCAATCGTCGGATTGACTTGAACTGCGTGATCGTAGGCTCTTTATTTCTTTTCGTTTTAATTGTCTGTGTGATAATATATTTTACACATCCGAATCTTGCATATTCAGAAGTGGAGACAGGGACTACGTAAATGTTTTCAGGATTAAGAGGTTACCTCAGTTTATTTCGAGAACTGTTTGACATTTAAACGTTTCATTGGTTGTATAAATGACACTTTAAACGACATCACTGGCGGAGTTTCGTAGATTCATGCCAACATTCGCATTAATTGTAATATTAAACTGATTTAAGTGTCTGAAGACTTAAAATTCTCCTCTAAAAGTTGTTATATTCGCCACATTTTGGTTCAATTTAACATTTTACATGCGTGAAAAAATAATTGAGAGGTTCTAAACATTACTGATTGGCTCTACACTTTGATTAAAAATGTCCACTTTTATGATCAATAAAATATCTAATACAAGCATAGGACATGAATTTCATATATATATATATATATATATATATATATATATATAATTTGATTGACAGCTGTTCAGTTATTATAAGATATCATCACAACTTACATTCATGTTGATAAATGCCACGATTAAAACAGGTTTGATAGTGTCAATTTCAGTGCAAGGTGTTAACTTCACCCCATTCATTTGTATACATTTCTTTAGGTGAAAAAGTGCAAGTGCAGACACCTAAACGAAATATGCTACAGCCGAAAGAGCGAATAAGGCAAGCTGTCAAAACATTAAATTCCTGGAACGACGAAAAAGGAATGTAATTCGACAGCAAACATAAACGAATTTTTGTCAGGAAAGATGACGTTTTAAAGGAAAAGAAAACATTTATGACAGGTAGAAATACAATACGGAATTCAACTAGTCATTGGCTTCAAAAAAGACAGTCGACCAATATAGGATAATTTTAATATAATAAATAAAATTAGATATCTTATTTCTTCAATACACTGTATTCTATATATTTACTAAATACTTTGAATAATGTTTGAATTTTTTGTTAAAATATTGAATATCAAAACGTTCTCCCACAATTTCAAAAACTGTATCGCTTCCACAGGTTTCCAAATATTGTTATTAAAAGTAAGGGAAAGTGTTCATACAAAAAACTACGGACTGTACTTTCTTTTACAATTCAAGATTGTGTCAATTAGTTAAAGAATGTAAATTGAATGAATTTTGGAGATGACGTACGAGTACTATGTTAGTTATGAAACAATACAATCAAGGTCATTTTAATAAGTGTGTCATTTGAAGTAAAAGTTGAATATCAACTATCAACAAATAAAGAGTTCCTTTGAGCGCTATACTTTTCATTTACTTGATATAAGTGTAATATAATTATAACGCATTAGTTGAATATAATTATGAGTACATTATTTCATGTTACTTATCATTCAGAACACATAAATATGTTTTTGATATCAAAGTAGATGGTTTCAAAGTTTTCGATTTCGGATATTATTTTCGAATATCTCCAATATATCTTATATTATTTTCAAATGGATTCTTATGAGGATTTGATGAGAGCGCCAATATAGTTTCTGATCATTTAGATCGATAAGAAGTTTGGTATTTTATAGAATTCCAGCGGAAACTAATAACTCAAATGAATGAATGAAAAAGTAAATGTATTTCGTGTATGTAAATTTCCATTTTAGTATTATGTTTGAAATTTAGAAAGCAATAACCTCTCAGAAGTAAGACACAATACTTGAAATTTTACTGATGTGCTTAGGACATTCTCGTGTTAGTATCATCTAGCAAACAAGGTCATGTTTAACCAAAGACTACGTACGCACAGGGTGAAGACATCTCTAACGTCAAGGAAATGTGTAGCATTACATTCAACGTATCTCCTCCCAGACTCACTCCACAATGTGCATTTGCGAGCGATACCGCCTGCGGTTGTATACAGCCACCTGGGGACGACTAGAAAACGAACGAGAACCCCCCCTCCGCGGCCTTCTCTTAAAGAGTACGCCGACCCCTTTTTCCATTTTGTCACCATTCACGAAAATGGCACCCCCTACACCTATCATTCCACCTTGGACTCTCCCCCTCCCCTCGTCCAAAGATACCTCAAGAGAGACGTAGAGTAAAACTGCCAATGGCGGAGAGGGCGCCAAAGAAACGGAACGGCTTTTTTACAAAAATCGCGAAGAGTCACGTACTTAATAAGTTGCAGTCCAGAGGAATTGAAGAAAGGGCGGGGCGGCAGAATAAGGAGAAAAAGGAAGAAGCAGCAGCAGTTCGAGCACGCGAAAGAACAACGCCCGAGCAACGCCGGAAAGCGATCGTTTTTCATCCAAACACAACCCCACCCCCCACAGCCGCGAACGCTTCGGGGGTTCCCCGGCGACCGGCCGGGCGACGGACGCGCGCTCCCGCGGCGGAAGGGAGAATTAAAAAATTCGGAAGAGTGAACTTCTTTTTGCGCCGTTCTCCGACAAAAAAAAACGTCGCCCAGTTTGTCATTAATTCCTTGGCGCTGATGTCGGAGAGTTGCGCGGGCGGCGGGCGAGAAAGAGCTATCGGTGGAAGAGAGGAGAGCAACGGAAGCCGAGAGGATGAGTTTAAGTATGGGGGAGAGGAAACGTGGAAGAGAGCAGAGAAAGCGACAGCGAAGGCCGCCGTCGTTTTCTTGGGAGGAAAATAGTGCGTGTTTGTTATTACATCACGGCCCTGACATAAATAAACGCCGCCCGGGGCGCCTCATGGACCGCCCGAATTCCTCTCAACTTAATTGCGCTTCTCGTGCGCGACGCTCGGGCGGGCGGAAGGTGGGAGACAGGGAGGGGAGAGGGGGGCGGGCGCATGCCTGTCAAACGGGTAGCCCGCCCACCCGCCGCCCCGCGCAATACCTGCCCCGCAGGTCATCGAGCGCTCGCGCGAAGGAACCGGCGCGCCACTGAATTAGTTCGCTGAGTCATGCTGAACAGATGCGAGGGAGGCCGCGTTGCCCCGGGCGTCGGGAGGGGTCGCGCTGCGAGGAACGGAGCGCCGTTAAGCAGCTGCTTCCCCCTTTCGTGAGCGCCCCGTTATCCGCTAATTTACATGATTTCGAATACTAATACACTGGGTCGACTAAACCGAAGTTGATTCAGGTTTCTTGTGATACAGTGTCTCTTCCAACAATAATTTTGGAAGTTTGGTTTCCCATTGTACTGTATCCCAAAATGTATAAAAATATCCAATATTCATTTAAATCATTGCCTTTTGCATTTGAAATATTAAACTTAAAATGTTAATGTGTCATATCACGTATATATTTCATAAAAAACATATCACATATTTTATTCCATAAGGAAAATATGAGTTGAGTGAACCAAGAAACAAAATTTATAATTAATTAATTTTAAAGATAGTTTTGTAAATGAAATCATCATGAAATATGTTTGCAATTAATATAAGCTTCATTTGTAGAATAGTCATTGTTATACTCATATTTGTACGATTATCGAATTGCTTTTGTTTACCCCAAAGAAACAAACAAATTTTAATTTATTTTGTACCTGCACTTATTTCATTGGCATATTTCATTCAATTTCTTCCAAAATATTATTTATTTTGTTGCAAATAACTGTACATCGTAAGTACCAAAAAACATAATAATTGCCAGTCTGATGAATTAAGTTTTAAAGATTCATGTTCTATTAAAATACAGTGTTAAAATTCTCAGCGATTCACGAATGTGAATGGAAAGTTCCAAATATACTAATTTTCTAAATTTCTTTCAGCTAAAATAGTACAAATAGATTAGTGTTGTTCAGAGGAATCGTGAGCTATTGATCACTTCTATCGGTTCCCTATAACTCCCCCAAAACGCGTTTTAATAAACTTAACTCCCATAAAGAGAGTGTTCATTGGATGTTTCAGATGGATCAGGTAAATAAAAATATCCCGACTGTCCCAAGTCCCCATCAATAGGCGGAGAGGCATCGAATGACACGCCCCTTCCCTCATTAATCGAAAGGAACATGCCTAACCACGAGTAACGAACGAAAGCACGATCATACGGAGGAAAACCGATTATCATAAATGTAGGGTTATCCTTAATCAATAAAGTTATCATAACGTCTTCAGATCTAGTAACAGGAAACAACGAACGCGTAGAAACGTGCAAACAGAAGGGTTGACAGCTCATTTTTTTTAAATGTACTTATCGGAGGCATCTTAACGGCCGTTTAGAGTAGCTTTTCGTTCCTCTATTCGGATACGTCAATATATGGATATATGGATGGATTTGGATAAGTCAATATATTTATAGTAGATTATTATGAGAACCATTCGTAACACACAAATGTAACATATTTTTGAGTATGTTGAGAATACATTGATGTGCACGATGAAGCGAGTAGCATTTGGCGTGGCGCTTTTGACTGCGCGTGGCCAGCGTGTGTCCTCGGGGCCGTTTCCGGCGCACTGAAACGAGCACTCCTTTTCCGGGCGGGCGAAAGTCCTCTCGCAGATTATCTCGTCGGCGGCTTATCCCTGGCCGCGCGGCGATCGCTTGCGAGAGGCACTTAGCGCTGCCGACCCCCCCTTTCTCCCTTCCTCTCATCCCCACTCCCTTCCCTTATATCCCCCTACACTTTTTTCCCTCTCCCTCTCCTTTCCTTGTCTACCCTCCTCCTCCGCCCCCTTCTCAGCCACCCCTCCGTCTCTCATCGCCCTTCCTCACCCCCCTCTTCTTCCCCCTTCATTCCCTCCCACCATCCATCCTAACTTCCTGCTTCCGCCCCGCGCCGTCCCCAGGACGCCAATCGCCCACTTCTCGCCTCTCTACCCTCTTACCTTCTCACAGTCGTTCCAAACGAAAAAGAATCAGAAAAAAATTCTTTAGCGTATTGATTCTTGTAAATGAAAAAAATACGTCAAGGATGTTGAAAATAATAAAGTATACATGTTTCTGCACTCCTTGAGAGTTGGGAACGTAATTTCTTGGCTGGAGATGCTAGTTTTAGTGCCAAAGAAAAATAGAAAAAATGCTTCAATTGATTTTGTAAGAATATTATAAAAGTACATTGATTTATTGTTCTGTAAGAATGGAAACATATGTCATGGAAATAATCTTCACACGTAATAACACGTAATCAAACTCTGAATTATTTGCCAATTGAATTATACTACTACATTTTTATTCCAAAAATATTAGTAGTGTTGCTGCTTTAGTTCATAAATGTAATATTGTGTTAATATTCCTATGGTGGCAAAATACCTGTGGCAAAATACCCAGCGGCTAACTAGTGTTGCAACCTTTCTCTTCAACCGCGGTAAATCCCCATTAAATTCTTCTCGCACATACCGACGAAATAAATGTCACTGCGTCACAATTCTTCAAACTAAACGCCAGCACTCGCGTTTTTTTATATTAAAAAGGGTCAATTGTTTATCAAAAGTATACATCTCATTGGCTGGTAAGAAAGAGTTTTTGAGTGATTTATTAGTGATTCTGAGCGCGCCATCTGCTAAGGTCATTAGTACTTGAATTAGCCCGCAAGCTAACTTAATTTTTTGCTCGTGAGGTGGCGATGATCTTCACACCCTGAATGATAAGATCCGGCGCCGACCTATTGATGACTAGCAGGGTTTTCCTTTAACAGGTATCTCCCACCAACAGTGCACTACCCCAGCCAGGACAAGCTCTAACCCCCGACCGGTCTTCCGGCATGTCTGGTAGTGTCATACATATAAGTATAACGCAAACATGTAAGTATTCGGAAGGGGTAGGATAGGACAAGGAATGTTCGCGCTCGATGTATTTGTTAGGATACAGCTACGGTATTCGCCTGGTATCGATCGGAGAAACCATGGAAAACTACTGATCAGATCAATTGGCCACTCTAGAACCCTCCTCCACACAGCGACAGAACGCGACTCAGCTGTCTAGTTAGTGCTTGCCACTGTCGGGGCTCCAACCTAGAACCTCCTGGCCAGAGCCACTGCAGTGGCATTAGTTGAGAGATAGCATTGCTGAAACTACAACAGCATATACACGTAAACTTCCGCGGCTCGAATCCATAAATTCCCGGCTATCCGGGAGACGCCGCGTTGTTGGCTGGGAGGCCGACGTTTCGCCTGATATGACGCATGCTTCCTTACTGCCCTGAGGAAGTTACTGCCCTGAGGAAGCCTGCGACATGTCAGGCGCAACGTCGGCCTCCCAGCCAACGACGCGGCGTCTCCTGGGTAGCCGAGAATTTACAACTGCGTAATAAAAATATGGAATTTACTGTGAGATTTTTCTAAAATTAGGAGTAGCGTCGGGTGAAAGACATTGAATTCGGTTCATGATTCGTTTCCTGTGGCACTGTGCCTCGCGGGGCGAGCGAGAGAAGGACGTGGCGCTCTCACTTTTCGCGAGTTGTCCGCCCGGGCGCCTGCCCACTCGCGCGAAACGGCTCATCCTGTCATTCCTCCCCCTCTCTCCGCCTTCACTTGGGATCTGCGGCGAGGGACGAACTGTTTGCGGGGTTTGGAAGTTTTGACACGTCTAACACGATTGGAAGTAGATGTCTAGTGCCGTTTTTCAGAGCGATGTTGGCGACCAAGTACAGATAGCTCCCGTAAAACCTGTCTAACGTGGAATCGTACGTACCAGATATTTTTTCCGTTGAAGATTAGTTCCACTTTAAAAAGTTTCCTTTAAAAAAGTTATTAATTTATAATGGTTAATAATTTAGACAATATATTATGCATGTGAATAATATAAGCTGTATTGAGAATCATATTTAGTTCTATTAATTTTGTGTTCACGCAATTTTTACACGGACGCTAGCATAATTACAAATACTCTTTAATTAAAAATAATTATCTTAATAAGATATAAAAATACTGTTTATCGTTCTATATTGTTGTTATTTGTTCAAAACGCTGAAGAGAACGGTTCCCATTTTATTTTTAATTCTTCCAGTGGCACAGTATGAATTTCGGCACACATCGCGCACCCATAAATGCCTAACTTTCAACAAACAATTAAGCCTGAGTGATCTGAGTTAGAAGCACCGAATAAATTTTGTTGTGGAAAAAATAACATTGATAAAAAAATAGCTCTTTTGGTATTATCGTTATAAGTCTTTACTTTGTACACACATACAGTATTATTTCCTTCTTCCTTTCCTCATTCTCCTTTTAGTTCATATATTTTATTTATTTATTTTCTTTTCTATATAATAAGCGATCTGCAAGCGCTCAGGTCATTGAAAGTGCGAGTTATGAACTTGAGTACATGATAACGGTAATGATAACGAGGAGAATGATATTGGAGAAATGGTGCAAAGATATGAAGGAGATAGGGAGAATCCTGCAAAATCCTGCCGAGAGATCGCTTTGTCCACCGTAAGTTGCACATAGATTAGAAGGGTTCTCCAACGTTCTCCAGTGATGGTCGCTGTACGCCTATCCATTATGCTACGTCTATGAAAATTTCGTAGTCTGCTCTCGATATTATACCCGATTCGTTTTGGCCATCTTTGTTATCGTTAATACAGTTGTCAACAGTACTTTTATTGAAATCCGCTTTTGTCGTGTTGTTTTGTAAGTATTGCTGGTCTTTATCCATTTATTTATGAGAACCATTTTCATCCATATAAAATAATGTTTTTGCGAAAAATATTGTTTTAACTTTTTAATTTACGTTTTAAGATTTATTTCAATTTCCGTTTTCCTGTTTGACAAGATAATTAGCACGCATTTCAGACCTAAAATCGTGTATCTGGGAATTTTTCATTTTATCAAGAAACCATTTGACTGTATCGGGCATCCCAGGACAATTTCAAAATGACTATTGGTAATTTAAATGTTGATTCAAGATTCGATGTCATAGATGTATGGTGGCTAATTCTCTTCAAATTATTTCTGTATATTCCATTATTTTTTTGCCTTGTGTTTACTTTTCACAAGTGGTGGAATCATCTATTTGGATGAGTTTAATTTTGTCTCTCCTCGCATTCTTATAATGCTCCGCTGTATCTTAAAATACAAAATTTTAAATGTGTCAATTCTATATGTAAACCTATTATTGACGTGTGATTAACAAGTGTATTATTTAATAAACGTATTATCCAACTTTACTTTTTGATATTTAAGTCATTACGTTAGAAAATATTCGAGCCTGCGATATACTAGTAAAATCACTGTTGAATTAATAACTACAGCTTATGCCTTTCAGAAAATTGATGTTTGAACATACTCATAGTTAGTAGTACAATTATCTGCCCAACAAAAGTACACTTTCCACCCCCATTACAGAAGCTAAGTCATCTCAGAATCCCAGAACCATCTTCTTGTTGCGCGCCGCAGAGCCCAATTTCTTGACACGCCCCCCGAGCCGTGTCATTGCCATCTTCGCTCCGTCACAACAGCATCAGCCTCGCGTCGCATTTCCGACCTTGTCACTTCCAACGTCGCTGTCGCCTCCCCCGCCGCTCTCAATACCCTTAATCCAATCCCTAATCGGAAGGTCTCCAACACCACAACCCCAATTCCCTTCATCCCTCCGCCTCTCGTTCCTCACGCAGCGCCTCGCCGCTTCGCCTTTCTCCGCAACGCAGCGCAGAGCACGCAGCCGAAATAACGACTTATTATCCCTGGTACGAGCAGAGATCCTTTTCCGGAGGGAGGCCAGGAATCTTCCATCAATATCTCGCCGGAGGACTGACGGTCCCGCCTCCCCCGCTGCAGTCCACAGAGGCCAATAAGAGTCAATCTTCGGGCGGCCCCCCGGGGCTCTAGGCCAGCGGTCGCGCGTCCGTCCGCCCGTCCCCCCGCCGCCCTCCGCCGCCCTCCGCCGCCCTCCGCCGCCCTCCGCCCCCCCCCGCCCTCCGCCGACCCTCCCGCCGCCCTCCGCCGCCCCCGCCGCCACTCCCGCCGCCCTCCGCCCCCTCCCCGCGCCCTCCGCCCTCTCCGCCGCTCCCGCGCTCGCCGCGCTCTCCGCCCGCTCCTCCGCCGCTCTCCGCCGCTCTCCGCCGCCTGCTTCCACTAAAATGTTTCTCGGATTTTACCTTGACAGGTTATTTCTGTACCTTTGATTACTCGCATTACAGCCGGGCAAAACGCATATTTTTATTGATCGACCATTCTTGCTGTCTTGCTTCCACAGTCTCGGTAGGCAATTCCAACAACCAACTGCCGGAACCGCTCTCGGTAGCATGGGGGTGATGATATGCACATTTTCTAGCAGTTTTGGTGGTTTATGAGCTGTTTTATAAACGAGAAATAATGGAATCGAATTTTAATTCAGAATATGTCGTAGAGCGTGTCGTAGTATTTCGTAGTATAAAGTATGTCGTAGTATAAAGTAGTATGTATGTCGTAGTATAAAGTTTAGTTAGCCATAAACAGATTCAACGTAACAAACCTGGTAACGATATCGTTTGTTCTCGATTTCCTCTCTCTATTCGCATAGTTTCTTTATCTCATCACCTCTTCCCTTCTTCTCTGGTCTCTTCTTCTCTCCATCCGCCTTTCTCAGTCGTATATATTCCCTTCTACGTCTCTCTCGACTGCTACCTGTTTTGTGCTTAAATTTCTCTGGTCAAACTCCTGCGGTTCTTGTAAAATATTATTGCATAGAAAAACATTTACCAGTAAATGATATCACAAACAACAATTACATTATCTGAAAGCTAAGGAGAAAATGCTTAAAATATGAATTTATTTTTTCTCATTTATAATTTTTTAAGAAAATTGTTATTCAAATGTATAAATCGTTCATCAAGAACGCAGCATTTAAATATCAGCAGAGACATACCGCCAAATCAGTTTTATAGAATTAAGTTTAAGTAAAGATAATATATTGTTGTGCTTATTTCTGTTGTATCAAAGAATCAATATGACATTCTGTAATGGATGATGTAGTTTCTTGCTAGCCGACCTACAAATGGCCGCCGCCTTCTCTATGGGTCTTCATCATACACACAAGCAGGGTTTTCCTCATCACTGAAGACGTCGAATTTGGCCTTCCTCACAGACTTAATTGAGTCTAATGGGAGTTCAATGAGCACAGTAGCCACCACCATCCCTCTAATTCCATTTCTGTGATCGCCCTTACAATTCCTGCAGTCTCCATCGTTCCCCCGCCCCATGGCGTATCACCCGTCCCCGTCGTACACGGTAACCCCTCACACCCTGTATCCCTCCTGGTTTTATCCTGCGGTCACGCCCGACCTCTCCACAGTCCCCACCGCTACACTTACCCCACTTTCCTCGACTCTCGCCTTTTCCAACTCTGCCACCATCCCCGCTGATCGCACTGACAACACCGCTGTATCATTTTCAACCAGTCAACAGTCCCCATTGCCATCGCCTCTACCACATTCCAGTCCCCCCTTCCCGATCCCCACTAGCCCAAGTGATCCAACCATCTTGCCATTCCCATTGACAACAGACCTATCTACAACTTTCCAGACCTCTATCGCCCCTACCACATCCTAATCCACCGTTCCCGATCCCTGCTATCCCCAACGCACCCACCACATCGCCATTCCCGTTGACAACACCGCTATCTACATCTTTCCAGACCTCTATCGCCCCGACTACGCCCCAATCCACCCTTTCCAATCCCCGCTCCCACCACTTTGCCCTTCCCATTGACAGCACTACTATCTACATCTTTCCCGACCTCTCCAGTCTCCACACCCACCACATTCCAAATCACTCTCCCCAACCACCGCCAACCACAACACTCCTAACACCTCCATTAATCCCACCGCTTGCCATCACCGTCATTCTCAATGATCCTGAACATTTCAAATCCCATCCCACCACATTCCAAAACACTCTCGCCGACTGCCGCCATCCACAACAGTCCTACCACCCCCGTTGATCCCACCGACAACTCCACCATCTCCATCATTTCCGATGATCCTATACATTCCAAATCCCATCTCACCACATTCCAAAACACTCTTCCCGACTCCTGCCAACCACAACACCCCTACCACCTCTGTTGATCTCACCGACAACTCTGTCATCTCCATTATTCGCGATGATCCTTTAGGTTCCCCTTTTCTACGACCGCCTTAGCCATCCCCGATGATCTCTCCGCTCACTACTAGTCCTCACCACTGTCGGCCCTCTCCTTTCCCACCCTGACGTTCCTGCGGCACACGACGCAACGCTTCTCTCTCAGCGTGCGCGTCGCCAACCCCCCCCCCCCACACACACACACACAGCGACTCGTGATCCCTGGAGGATCCGAGACATCTCTCCGGAAACCGCGCGGAGATGTTGAGCCCTTCGCCTCGGCGGTGGCCTGCGGCCCGCGCGCCCTTTCGGAGAGGAGCGAAGGGAGGGGGAGGCGCCTTCGGAAAGGATTCGTCGAGGATGTTTCCAAACACTGCGGATATAACGTTGTATCCCTTTCCCACCGAATCACAACGTGCTACATCAACATATCGATGTTGAAACTTGTATGCCAACTGTGTCCATAGGATTCCTCGTGAATGTCACACGGCCCCTCAGAATTTTTGGGTGGTTCTAATAACTTTTTGACTCATTGAAAGTAATTAAGTTCTGGTGGCGCAATGTGTAACATTTGCAGTAGGGTCATGAGTCCTGGGGATTTGATATTGTGTTCCCAATCGTAGATGTAAATCAAAGAATCAAACAGTTCTAACCGATGTACCATTTTTAACTGAACGTGTGCATGATTAACCACTCTGCTAGATTTCAAGCAGTTAGTTGCCAAATTTGACAATAAAAGTTATTGTTATGAATGTATGTATTTGACATTTTCAAGTTGAATTAATTCGTTGTTGTTTTTTTCTGCACGCAAGCATTGTTTCCAGGCTTGTGCTCTGTTGTTATCAACGCCTGGGGTAAGGTACACATGTGGCGAGAATAATGTATTCCCATCACCGTATCTAGCTTAATTGGCCTGCCTGAGCTTTTTTCTTTCGTCACATACCTGTACAAACTGAGGCTATTTGCATTAGATAACTACAACTTGATTTTTGCCACAGCCGTGATTGGAACCCGGGATCCCTTCACAGACATTTTTACACAACTATTTTTCAGTAACTACTACTTACTTTAAAATAAATGTGATGAACCTATGGATAAAATAAATGCGACTCTCTGCGCAAAGTTTTCTTAAGATCCAGGCTTCTAAAGTTCTGCTAATTGGTCGGCACTTCCCTTTTCTATTAAAGAGCCTTCCGTATTCCTGTTACTCTTTTATTGAATACATTTTTAATTCGGGTTCCTGACTTCAGGAGTAATTCAAAGGGTTAATTATAATTTTTACGGTTATTACGAGTACGAAGTACAAGATGAAAAAAGAATAGTCCTTACTTAGGTAACATTTTGTCTGTTTTTAAGTCCATTTTCGGTTGTAATAATATTACTTAAACTATTCATGGAAACCGCATAATATTCTTGAGAATATCTTCAGAAATTTTCAATGACGACGTCTGATCATTTATGTTTCTTGGCTTTTCTCAAGAATTTACATATACGACATTTGTTCATTCTCAATATGTTAAGATCATAATGTAAATTACTATTTTCATTTTTGATTTTCACTTACAAATAACTACAAGGAAACACTCCGAAAACCAAAACTCTGCTAGTCTACAAAGCAGGTTTGTTTCCTGTGTGACCGGGGTAGGTTGGTTCTTGAAATAATTTAATCTTCAAACAGTTAACGCATTTAACAGGAAAGATATACGAAAACCTCCTCCATGGATGTCAACTGCTGACTAGAGGAAAACTTCCGTTGTATATGACATGAAATTTACAATTAACACAGTGATGATAATTAAACATCAAGTATACTGTAAATACAAGGAATAAAAAGAGTTTCGAAGAATACCTTGTCTCGATAGTTCTGGGGTCAGAGCATCGGGTCGTACGTTCGACTCGGCCGAAATAATTTATACTTTACAAAATTTACTCATTTATTCTAAAACTGAGATTGTTGTATCTGCACCTACGGCAAGTGCTGCGAAGCGAGTTTCGAGCGGTGCTGTCACCACACATTCCACATACACACACGCGCGCGCGTGAGCCGCGCGCCTGGTCCATTATGCCGCCCAGAGCGCCGCTTTAAAATTCGCGAGTCCATTTTCGCCGCTGGAAACCTGGGAAAACGAAAGCCGTTTTTCACGCAACGAAACAAGCGACTGCGATATGAAAGCAAGTCACCTCTCTTATATCTCCTTTTTGTCGAGCACAGGTACATATTTGAGCTGCAGATTACGAACGGGCGTTTGCGCTGTGCGTGGACCCGAGTCGCTGGACAGACCGGTGGAGAGGGGAGAGGCGGGAACGGGTGGGAGGGAAACGGGATGGAAGAGGAGACGTTGCAACCCAAGGAAGGCAAGTGGAGTGGATTAGGTGAGACTGAGCAATGTAAAGAGGAATGGAAAGGGGTCAGAAAGTGGGTGAAGCGGGGTCGGATCGGATTGAATAATTCGTAGTACGATGGAGTTGAGCAGAGCAGATTACAGCAAAGGAGGGCTGAGCAGATAAAGGTGGTGAAAGGTCATGCAGCTGTTAGGAAGGCTGGGAGGAGCGATGGTGGGGTGGAAACGGCGGGTGGGATTGGCAAGGAGGAGTGGGCGGGAAGGGTGGTCGACGTGGAACGGGGACGTAAAAGGTTGCTAGGGTGGAGTTGGGGTTGAAGGGCTGGCGGAGGTGATGGGTGGAGAGGGATTGGTGGAGAGGGATTGGCGGAGAGGCAATGCTGGAGAGGGAATGGCGAAGAGGAATTGGTGGAATGGTTTGGCGGATGTAAAGGCCGTTGCGATGCGCTGAGTTGCTGAACAGAGTGGTGGAGTAGAGAGAGGAGGAGATGGATGCAAGGGAAACAAGGTGGAATAGGTTGAGGCGAAGGTGAAGTGGAGTGGAAGGAGTCAGAGAGTGGGGCGAAACGGGGTCGATAATTGGGTAGGTCGTGTTATGGTGGGGTTGATCAGGGTAGATTGCAGCAAAGGAGGACTGAGCAGAGAAAGGTGGTGAAAGGTGATGCAGGTGGGATCCAGGCTGTGTTGAGTAAAGCAGAGGGGTTGAAATTGGTGAGGTTGGCGAGTTGGAGTGGGCGGGAAGGGTTGTCGACATGGATTGGGCAGTAAGAGGTTGCTAGGGTGGAGTCGGGGTTGAAGGGTTGGCGGAGAGGGATTGACAGAGGGTGAATGGTGGAGAGGGATTGGTGGAGAGGGATTGGCGGGGAGGGATTTGCGGAGAGGGATTGGCGGAGAGGGATTGGCGGAGAAGGATTGGCGGACAGGGATTGGCGGACAGGGATTGGCGGACAGGGATTGGCGGAGAGGGATTGGCAGAGCGGGATTTGCAGAGAGTGTTTGCCGGAGATTGTTTGGCAGAGCGAGTTTGGCGGAGAAGGTTTGGCGGAATTGTTGACTGGATGGGGTTAGGCGTGAGGGGATATGGCTGATGGAGAGAGGTTGGTACGCACAAAGAGGGGTTTGTGGGTGGGAAGGAGTGGCCAGAAGGGGCTGGTAGAGAGGAGCACGTAGGGGAGTCGTTGCCGCTTGCAAGTGCTAGCTGTTCCTCGATTCGGCAGCACGGACGCGACGCGGCCCGACGCCCCGCGTCGCACCGACTCTCTCTTATTAAATTTTTCCCCCGCGCAGCGCGCCACTGCTCAGACGCGTAAATTCACTCCGAGAGTCATCTGCGAGGCGAGCCTGTATCGCGGAACGATTTAAAAAATAATCATTTTTGATTTAACGCAGGTGGACCGCGCACAGTGAGCAAAGGATTGGAAAAAATTGGACGAACGTGCTTAATCAGTGAAATATTCAATGCTACATGAACTTGTTCAGTGTTGTGGTTTCCTTATTTAGAAAATGAAATTACACCAAAATATAATAAATGTTACAAGATTCATTAGTACTATAGCAAAATAAACGGTATTTAAATAATAACATGATAGGTACTGTGTCCATAAAATTCCTTCTGTTGTGAATCTAAGTCTTAGTTTTACACTATTCGTGTGACTTATACAATAAAATAAAACTTGGGATGTCATTCTCGCCGTCATCATTAATAGCAAGTGTAAAATCAACGCCTTACGGTAAAGCCTGTGGTTGAGGAATGCGAGGTTGCCGATTCTATCTTGGACAAGAGTCACAAGTTTGCTTAACGTATTAAACGGTGAATTTTTGACGTCAGTCAGGATTTAATTTAAAATTCGGCTACTCTGAGAGGTAGTTTTCCTAATCATTTACAGACGAATGTCAGAGCAGCAACCATAGTGATGCATACAGGTTTCATAGGTAAAAAAAATAAATAATTACATGTTTTCTGAAGACTGATATGTTCGAGCACTTAGCGCTAATTTTTTGATTTAACGTGTAGTATATTTAACAAAAATATTCGCAAAATGTCAAGAGATTTGAAATATTGTCTGAATTATTATGTTGATAATAACCTTTATGCGATTATATAGTTTGAAAGTATACCTGTTTGTGAGTATCATAGGGCAAGAGCTTTGATTAATTTTAAGGAATATTGTCAAATTTATTTTCGTTTCAAATAACGGTGAAGCATTATCTTCGACAATTTTCAATTTTGTGTGTTTCTGGACATATTCTCAAAATGTACTGATTGTGCCGAATATTCATATTTTCGTAGCATATCTCCTATATTCTCAAGATTTCTGTAACAATGATACGAAGTCTTTCTAAGAGGCTTCGTCATCCAAGAATATAATTTTACCTCACGAACCTAACGAGAAACGTGGCTTACAGGCTCTCGAGCGATGGTGAAACTAAAGAAAAGCTTGTACCTACGATTAAATGGATGTATACAATTTTCTATCGTATTTTTTAAAGAAATCTTTGTAAGGGTCAACGTAATGTTTTTATTTTATTAGATCGATCGTGCTATTATATCCTCGAGTTCATTCACATAAATGGATCTTCATAACACATGACCATTTATATTCCATAATTTATTTATTATTTGACATTATTATTTATTACCTTTATGCATTAGTCCATCATAATATTGCGTTATAAGATAAAACTGTATTCGTGGCGAACTTTGGAATTCCCTGGAATTGGTTTATATTCCATCCTGGAAGTGGACACAATAGTATACGAGCCGTAGGAGCCAGCAGTGGCCTTACCTACATAACGAGGGTTCGGCATTCGAAAGACAGACTAGTTTTGAGCAGTGTTCGAGTGTTCAACAGTGTCTACTACAAAGCTACGTATAAAGTTATTTCTCGTGGACACTCATATGACTCAGCTACAAACTTGAACGTCTTAGGGTGGGCAGTAAATGGCTTTTGGAGTTCGTGTTTCTCCTCTGGCAAGTTGGCTTATCCTGACATTAGTATGAATTGGATTTTGGAAATGTGTGTAGCAAAAGGACCTAATACTCTGTCTTCTTTTCCTGATTCGCATAAATTTCAATAACGTACATAATATTCAATAACAGGACTGTATTCCACTTGATATTCAAAAAATACATTTCAGAAATCGTTCCTCTAAATTAGACATTTAATATTCGTCGTGGATTTATATCAATACCATTCACGTAATTTGTATTACAATTACAGAACGACACCAAAATATATGCCACAATCGTACTGACTCAATAAAAGTAATAGTATATAACAACGCATGTACGAAACCTCTCGCTTTGTAGTATTAATGAAACTGAGGAGTTTACTTGCACAGTGCTTCGGCCCCCCATTCCACGCTGTGCGGCCCACTGCGCAGGCGCGAGCCAGGGGGAGGGGGCGCAAACATGCTCGCGAATGGCCGGGAGCGGCGCTAGAGAGCGCCAACTGCGAGTCCATCGGCGGTGCTCTACACGAGGGCCCTCCACGGTCGCATATCGAGATATATCGACTGCGATCGGCGATCGGCGCTCGCCCCCCCCCCTCGCCCGGCCACCGAGTTGACGAGCGTGGGTGGCCACTTTGAACCTGTGGAGTAGGATCGGCTTTCAGCCGCCTTTTGTGAATTGTTGCTACCCGTGTTCGGTACTTGATGTTGGTGCATTTCAAAAAGTGATTGCTTTAAATTAAAAGCTGATAATGCGTGGGAATGATTGATCGGCTGATTAAGCAGTTGAACTTGGATAAAAGGTGAGGATCAGACACAGAATTCTGGTACGCAAGACAAATAGGTATCAAAAGGTAGGTATATCGCTGTTTAAAAGAATAGTAGAAAGGATCCGTTACCAGCTACTTCAGATTTACAGGTGTAAAATTAGTCGAAATTAATTATTTCCGAAGTCAGTAAGTTTCTAAAGTTGCGAATTGGATAGTTTCAGATGTATCAATATGCGTTCGAAATGCATGCATCCTGCTTTTACTGTGGTATCATTTACCTCAGTATCATTATCGCGGGGGCAGGTGCATGTAACTTTAATTGAGGAACAGCATTTAGCAGAATCCGATTTTTAATCCACCGGGGTTGTTAGCCCTAGGGGTATGTAAGATGAAATGATGATGATAATGAAGGGTAAAAGGACGACACACTCATACAGACACACACTAATACACCCGTACCTGAGGCGGGACGCGACCCCGCGATCTTCTGGTCCGAAACCACTACGGCACTATTGCCTTCGACGACCGTAAAATTAATACGGCGTTCTGGTCGGCGGCCGTATTATTATTATTATTATTATTATTATTATTATTATTATTATTATTATTATTATTACGGTTATTATGGTTGTTATTATTATTGTTATTGTTAACAATAATAATGATAATAACAATTTAACTTATTTCTGTGATTAGTGGAGTATGTGGTGCTCCGAAAAATCCCTTCAGTGGTGGTCCAATTCGTTGTTGCCTGCTAAAAAGAACGCACCCGCAGCCTTTCCTACTCCCCAGTCCACAGCCGGCTCGACACTCGCCCCTCCGCCCGCCCTCGCCGCCCTCGCCCGCCCTCGCCGCCCCTCGCCGCCCTCGGCCGCCCTCGCCTGCCCTGACCGCCCTCGCCCGCCCGGCGCCCCGGCGCCCCTCTTGGCGACCCGCCCATATTAAATCGGCCCGAGGGCGGCGCGCCTCCTCGGCACTCTTTCGCCAAGCCAGCCAGCCGCTTACACACCCTGCCCCTTCCCTCCCCTCCCTTCCCTATCCACGCGCCCCGCCCACCACGCCCTGACAGGCGCTCTGGGCGCGGGTTTGTCGTCCATCCATCACGCGCCGGCTTCGTCCGTCGATCTGGCGGGGAGTGAATTAAGTGAGCCAGCCTGATGAGCTGGTTCAAAGCAGTTCATTCTGCGAACGATGCAGCTATTATGCCCTTTTTTTATGGGCGGGAATTTTATTCTTATAGCAGTGTAAATTCACAGGCTTGCAAAAGAAATAAAAGCGATAAAGTACGGATTAGAATGTCCACAGAGATTGCTGGCATTGAAGATTTGGAGTTGTGAATAATAATTTGATTATGCAGACTTTATTATGTATCATCTTACCTATATTAGAATATGGCCCCGCGGCTTATGTTGGGACCCATACAGACTTTTTTCAACAAACGAAATCTAGATAAAAAGTTCCAGCCGGTAGAGCCATCAAAATTTACTTTCATGCTGGGTACAAGGCAATAAAAGGGGTATTGGGAGTCACATCGACAGAAGAAGATTAACAGTCACGTTCTATA